GAATGATCTTTAGTTGTATGTTTTCATGGGTGTTTTTACAGAAAATTAGGAGGAGGAGGATTGAAGGTGTTTGTTATTTACACTGCCTTTATTATCTTTTATTTTCTACGTGAGAAGACAGGTACAAAAAGGCAGTGTTAGTATCATATATAAAACTTGCCCTTGGAGAAATTGTATCAACAAGATCTAGAAGACATGATACATTCCTATATTACAAGGAACTGAAAGTCATTTAAGTAGAAGTTGGGTGTTCCAGGCACATTGCTAATCTTTCAGATTGATACAAAGATCTATTTTTTTTTGTAAAATAACTGAGTTATTGCAGTGAAATAAGACTGGGCTGGTGCAAGACGGGACTATACTACAGTGCCTATAAATCCCAGATTTAGAGTTCAAATGGTAGCAAATAAACCCTGTTAAGAGTTTCTAGTGAAAGGACTGAGCAGAGATGGTGCCTTGGTGGGAGTTTGTGATAACGGCACAAATATGGATGCTATCTATCCAAGTATACACTCTCCCTCTCTTCTTCTTTTTTTTTTGGCCATTCTTGGTCCAATTTTGACACTGCTAACGCAGGTCAGCCAGTCCCAGTTCTCTCAGCAACTATTGTAGATTCTTCCTAAAGTCAGTCAGCTAACCAACTGTGACCTCTGTCTCTACCTTCCACCAAATGACCCATTGGCACTTAAGATTTCTTAAGCTACTAATGTACAAATATGGAATAGGAAGGAAGTCTTTTGTGCTAATGGATCAATACTATAGAGATGCAAAGCCTATCTTCAGAATCCAATACGACAAACTTTGTTGATGAAAAAATGTATGTAATTTTATATATCATATTTTCCAATAAATTAGATGACTTTAGTTACTTTAAAGTAGATGACTTTAATTCTCTTCTTTTAGCATTAAAAAAACAAAGAGTAACAGATTAAACAAACAAAAATCCCTAAAAACTGTGCTAAAGAATGCTGTAACATACATATTATTAATGCTGGAAAGTGATAATAGTGAGCAGAAAATCAGTGGTAACATCATTTATCTCCAAAATCAGAAATAGAAGTAGAGGCAGGAAAATTCACAGTGCAGATTCATACAAGTATCTCTGAGTAGCCCTTTGGTTATCCTACTGTGCTCAATAATTTTCCCAATTACTGTGGAAAACAGTACATGCCTTTTCAGTTTGATTTCTGTATCTCAAATACAAATAATTTTCCAAATAATCTCGTGAGGTTTCCTTGCACCACTTCTGCAGCCTTAAGGTCAGAAAGGCAGAGTCTAGGCTGCCTCAGTTGTTGCAGCCTTGGTCGGCTTGCACATTAGCGAGCTCATGTGGACCCTGATATCTAGACATTGGCTGCAATTCACATATGACAGTCACAGGACTTCCTTTTCCTGTAATAATCACTCAAATGGATTTTCATAGTACCTGGTGACTTTCTCACAGTCCAGTGAGACCTGCATATTCTCCTGATGAAAAGTCTTTTTATCTTAAATAAATTCAACATGGTCATTGTAATGAATGAACTGCCAACTTCATATTTTAACTAAATATTTCTATCTGAACCCCTAGCAATACCATACCTTCAGTTCCCAGGATCCATGTGTTCTTGAGTTACTGTTTCTAGAAAAGGAAATAATGCAATCCATTCATTAGAATTCAGATATTAAAATGGGAGCGCTTATGTAATAAGGATGACCTTTATGTTTTCTCCTCACTGAAGTGTCAAAATAACTGCTATGATTTTTAATAGCTCTTACCATCCACATATGGAAGAAATAAAACTTGCATGCATTCTGTGTGAAAAGGCTATACAAATATTTTATTTATTGTTGCCCTTACTGATTTTTAGTTTTACACATTGATAAAGAAGTTACTAAAAGTTAATGTGCACCTACAATCAACCAGTTTTTGGGTGTACCAAAAAAGCATTCATTTTAAAAGAGCATTCACTTTAACTGCAAAAATATTCACATATATGTATATATTTCTGTACCCTTGTAATTATTGTTTCAGTTTTTCAGACACTGATGATATTGACATTACATTTATGCTTCTTTGTCATTTAAAAAGAATGATATACACCTACATAGTTTTTTTAGAGCCAAAATCTGATAATTAACATGATTCACTTCAAAATAAGTATAAATAAAAAAAAATAAAATTAAGTAGAGCTTTGAATGGCATAAAGCAAACAATTACCATTCTTTACAATAAAAAATATTTACTAACATGAAAAAGCTGGCCTGAAATTTTGCTATTTGTGAGACTGCTGTGTTTTTCAATTTCTTGTTGCAATTCATATGTACCCATTTTAAACTGAGGGGAAACGGATGTTTAACTGTAGACATGCCCAAAGTAAAAAGACTTGGGAGCTTCTCAATGTCTTACGACAGCCTATGCTAAGGTCCAAATGTGGAATCCCTTTAGGCCAGGGTACTGCAAAGTCAATGCCATTGACTGCCTTCCCAGAATCACCCAGGGAGCTTGTTGAAAAACCCACCCCAAACCGGCATTAATGTAGCTGTGTTTTAAGCAAACATATGAGGTGATCCTTGTGGACACCACAATTTAAGAATCACTGCTCTCCAGTTCTTGAGTGGCAATGGTATCACCACAACTGGTAAAATCTCTACTTTCTTTTGGTTCATTAATATTTGGTAGGTTCCCAATGAAAAGAGAACAAAAATCAGAGAAAGCTAAAATTTCAGAGTAAAAATTTCCTTAATATTTTGCACTAACATTTTATCTAGGGTGAAATAAAGTTAAAAAAAAAACCTTGTATATAAAACCACAACATACCATATAAATAAAAGCAGTATATATTTTAAAAGAAATTTTCTTAAAATATATTTTTTGGAATACCAGTGCCTTATTAATAGTATATCTCTGAAAATACAGTTCTCAGTGCAAAAAGCAAACTATGAAAGTGCAAACAACAGTTCTTTTTTGGAGATAACAGTGATGGTGTTCAATAGCATATGAAAGGCTCTAAGAAGTTTCATGGTCAAAAACTTGTGGAACTAAAAATAACTGAACATTTTCTAAATACACTTGACTTGAAAATTTCTTTCCTAAAGAAGACATTGACTTGTCTCATGTCACTAGTATTTATTTCAAAGAACATGATGGGACGTGATGTTCTAGAAGCAGCAAATTTGATGGCTGCTTTCAGCATCTGTAAACGACTGTAATGAACTTACAGGAGAATTTTGAACAGGATTTATTTAAAATGTTATTTATTATTTGAACCACCTATTTAAAAGAGAAATTAACTTGTCTTGTTTAGCTTTCTTTCTAAATTGAAGACATACTTCATAAAAACCCTGCTATGTTAGCATTTTACATAAAAAACCCTATGTTAGCATTTTAGTAACTGACATATACAGAGTATCTAAATATTTATGTATTATGCTCTTATATCCAAATTTGAGAAGAAAACATTTAGCTGATGACATTCAATTCCTTAAGAATTTATATGAAAGACTTGAGGAAATAAACCTGGGTGAGGCACCTGATGGAAACCGAAACTGTTTGCTGGAACTGGCTGCTTGATCTTAAATGTAGGATGGAGAAACTGGGGTTGTTTAAGATGAACACAAAATTTGGAGGGCTGAAGGGAATATGATAGCTATCAAGAGGAAGATTCAACTTCTCTACATGGCTCAGTGAAAAACTTAAAGACTAAGAGGCGAAAATTACAGGGAATCCTATTTTATGTCAATTTTGAGGGTTACTCAAAGATGTAATGGTCTCAGGCAGGAGGTAGGGAGCTCCCTGCTTTTGCACTGTTTAGATTAACCACCTGGTAGGGATATTTGGGGAGGGGGCAGTGGGAATTCAAGCATCACTTGAGTGGTAGACCCAGATGACCTGTAGGGCACAATTTAATCCCAATATGTAAGAATGGAACAGTGTATGTAGCAAATGAGTTCGGGTGAATAAATCTATCTGCCAGTAATTAATCCTCAGCTCTTCTCACCTAGGTTTTCCATTTATAAAGAGAGCATTTGCTTTCTTTTTAAAAATATGTCCTTTGGCTCACAGAAAGATACTTGGTTCAATTCTTATACAGTAAGTCTTGCCTGGGAAGATAAGACAAAATTTCCTTATCTAAATTTACTAAAATTACTGATTTAAAAGGAGAATTTTAATTTTTTAATAGAGAGAGGCCCAAGTATGAAACACTATTATGTTCAGTGAATTTAATCTCTCACTAGTTTTAGTTTAATTGAAGATGTTAGAAGCATAATGAGGTAATTAAGTGATGATTAAAAACTGCATACCATTTATGTCTTTTTTTAAAGGGGCTGAGTTCATGAGTTAGATATAACTTTTTTGATACACAGAATTCACTTTAGGAAGTGCTAAACAATTTTTTTCTTGCACTTTCAAAACATAAGCAGAGGAGGTTCCTAATTTTTATTTCCTGAAATGGCTATTCTTCCTATCATAGTTTGTTCCAAAAATTGCTTACATGTCATATTTTTAAGTGGCTATTACATTTCTGTATTTATAAAGGGAAAATGTCCTCTCAAAAGCTAGTAACAGTTAAGCTTATCATCAAAAAAACCCGTATCATCAACAGTTTCATTTTTTTTATCACTGTTGTTCTATATAATCTTAAAGCATCTTTATAAAATTACCAACAAATTTTGGTTTAACTATAAAAATACTGTACAAAAATATTTCTAAATTATATGTGCTTGACTCTTGCCTTAGAGTAAGTGTAAGTAGCCAATCTTCATGTGTAGACTGAGTTACAATGACCATATTTTATGGAATCTAAGATGCAGCTGATTGAAAGAAGCATCTTTATGTTCTACTATGAAAGGAAAAAAGGCTGTCAATTACACTTGGTACACAATCGATAATCAAGACGTTTCCAATTTCAGAAGTGGAAAAATGTGCATCTCAGAATCAATGAAATATGTCATTTAGTCAGATTCTAAACACTATCTGTTAAATTTTCATTCTCACCTTTCACATAAATAAGGCATGATTTAGTTAAGCAAAGAAAACTTTATTTCTGCTACACATAACAACATATTGCTCTAAGAAACAACTACTATATTAGTTTTAGCATTGATGTGTGCATTAAAAACACATGTCGACAATTCCTGCTCCCCAGACAAACAATGGTGTGCACAGACTATCAGACATATGAAAAAAAAAGCTGTCAACTGTCCACAGGGAGTGCGTCCAGTCACATTTTCAGTCAGTCAGCTGAGGATTATGTCATTATTTAGTCTTTGTTCTGCAGAAAGAGCACAACACAAGTATGAAAATCATCACCTGAAAGGAAACAGCTGTTGTACATAGTATTCCTAAAATGCTAGGAATTGTTCCTTATTTCAATATAACCAATGTCATCTGCTTACTTAGTCACAGATGCCCCCAAATAAGCAAAACCCCACTTACCTGGAAGGATGATGCAAGCACATACTGAATTTCTGGGGGGAAATGCTGTAAATTAATATAGATTCAGAATGCTCTCACATACTAAAATTTTTATTTTCCTCAAATAGAAATGACATATTTTGTACAACAGCCTCATCTCAAAATAGCGTTTTACTACTTTAAAGTCATATTCTTAGACCGGCTGCTTCTCCTATTTCCTGGGTGTGGCTCACGTTAACCTAGATTTAGTCCTCACAGACAAAAGGAACCAGCCTTCACGAGCAGTGTTTGTGCCCTCTTGGATTTCATTAATCTAACCCTCCCTATCTCTGCCCTCACTGTGTACAAATAAATAGCTCGCCAAGGAAAACAATGACAGATGTATACGTTGTGACTAGTCATCCTGAAAAACACGCACTTCCCTCTAATGCGGGGCCTGGATGGATGCGCACCACTGCGACAGGGGGACCACGTGGCACTACGGAGTTCCGTTCTCAGAGCACCAGCCGACCACAAGGTAGTTCTGCATCACTAAACTTTTAGTTTTTGATCATTGAGAGATGACATCTCAAAGGTTTCACTTCAGTAACTAATGCAACAGTTCGGCTCACACTCGAAAAACATTTTTAAACATTTTATAAGGAATTTTGCTGACTCATTTCCTCTCAATAACTCCATTAAAAAAAAGTCAGCCTCAGGAAAGTGGAGATTGGCCCAATCACAGTTAGTTAAGTGTCAGAGCTGGAATTTGAACCCAGACCTTCTGATTTCATCCAGTATTCTCCATGCTATATAAATAATTGTTGGGAAAGGTTAACAACATGATTTATATATTTTTTGATACTCAGAAGTTTCTGATGACAATATTCTTTGAATAAAAGGATTGCTACCTATATGTTAAAATATTCACAGACATGAATAAACATATTTTTCGTGCTATTTTAGAAGATAGCTTGTCTAAACAGAATTCAGTTCTTGACATTTTATTTGTAAACACAAAAAAACACTTTGTTATAAGAAAGACTTGCTGATTCTTTGTCACTGGCAATTTAAAATTTCTACATTGTATGAAACAATTGGAGTGGTTTTGTAATTTAAAAAAATTTGAAAACATTTCTAAATTAGGATTACTAACAGTGTGCCCAATGGACACTTCCTACTGTCAACTGCCTTTTAGGAAGGTGTAACTAATGAGTTAACTTGCTCTACTAAAGGAGGGGTTATCAGCAGTAAGGCTTGAGACAGTTCATTCTGACACATGTTAGTTCTCGTAACAGATTAGAAAGAAAACCTGAAGTGAAAAGAAAATTGCACACAAGCCAGTAACTTTAAACTGAATCAAAGTGCTTGCCAGCTGCTACCATCTGACCAGCAGTGGACGTGGGGAGTTGTCTGTGTGGGAACAGGGAACACTCAGCTTCCCCCGAAACTCAGCATTTATTTATAGAATAAAAATGTGAAAGAATTGAACATTTCTAAATTTGTAAGAATGTTTCCTGAAACCATGAAAATATGAACTGTCATAGAAAAAGAGTCTTAAGTTTGATTTTTAAAAACTAATAAAAGAAAAGGAATTTATATGGCTGCATATATCATTAGTTGTAATAAGCAAGAGTTGTTGGTAAATTGTCAGTTAGTTTTTTTTAATACATATATGCACGTGAGAATATTTTCTGAATGTGTAGTTTTAAAGCACAACTCACAAATATAAGTCCAGAAAAACACCAACTTTTAAATTCAAAGGTCTATCATTTGATATTGAGTCTAAGGCATTTTATGAGTGAGAAGTCAAAACATTCTTTATAAAGACTTATAAATTACCTCAATTCTTACCTCAAATTACCTCAATTATCTCAAGACTTAATACTCAAGGCATTAAGTCTTCAAGTTAAACATTTTTAAAATTATTTCAACTTTAAGTTTATTAAAGCATATAGTAAAAAGTCTAATTCTTGTATCTAAGACATTCAGAAACCAAAAAGTAATTAATTTTCCAAACGGAGATCTGATTTTATGTTATAGAAGGGCAAAAACATTCTTCTAGTAAACATCAAAACCATTTTAAGTTTAAAAAGCTTAAGTTTAAAAATATTTTGTAAAATTAACCTGAACCATGGTTTTATCAATGAAGTTGTAAGTCACAGTGCTTTTAATTGACAACTTCTGAATCACTAGAAAAAAACTAACTCCTAATTAAAGTACTTACTATACATGTTCCTCTTGCTATACTATTTAGTCAATATGTTTTATAATTCAGATTAAAAGAAACTTACCTCAAAAATCAGTAAGTTCTCTGTCGTTTGTTAGACTCTTCTCTTGGGGAATCTGCCAGCATAACTTTAAGTCTGACTCCGTTCAGGATCTTGCCGTGTAAAGTATTAATTGCATCATTAGCACTTATTCTATCTGCATACTTGGCATACCCCACATTTTTTCCTGACACAAGGTAAACTTCAATCAGGTTACCAAAACGACTGAAACAAAGTAAAAAAAAAAAAAAAAAAATCAACTGACGTTAATAAATATTGCTGCTGGGGTGTTAAAGTCGGGGTCCATTCTGAACTCCTTTTTCATCCGTCTCCCCATTTCCTACCTCCCATGCGGTCTTCTTAAACACCTCCCTCTCAGTCAGTTTCCCTTCATTCTCTCTCAGGCTTCTTTCCTCTCGAAGACCATCATTATCTTTTCCTTAGAGTGTATCTTCCTCACTAGCTTCCCTGGCCCCTGGGCATGTCCCTCTTCAATCCATCCCCCACCATGTCTTGAGTAATCTTTCTAAAACATAAATATCATTTCCTCCCTAAAAATCGCTTTGGCAGCCACTCGTTGCCTCCAGGTTAAGACAAACTCTCTAGGAAACCCCGTGAGCCGTTCTGGAAGGGGCCTGTTCGCTCCAGCGTTATCTTCCCTCCCAGTCTCAAAGTCCGTATTCTAATGACCTCCTCTCACATTCTCTCTGGCAGGGTAACCACCCAGGCCCTCGACTTTCTTCCCAGATTAAAATATCCTACAGGTCTCCATGATACCTTGCTTCTTTCAAGGAGTCTTCCAAGGTAGCTGCCCCTCTTTTATACTTCATAGCCTGTCCATTCCTTTCATGGCACCAATCTCATAAGACTGTAATTTCCTATTTACTTCTCTGTCTCCTAAATAAGGTTATCTCTAACAAGACAACAACTATTGTGTCTTGTTTATCATAGAATATTTTGTTCATATGATGTCTCTAGCACTTAGCACAGTGTCTACCCTGAACAGAGGACAGGTTCAAAAAACAAGCTAAATCAATCGGTTAAATAAAAGTCAAAATACTTGAACCACATATCTGATATTTTGAGCAGCTCTTTAATTTTCTTTATTTTTTAATTTCTTTATTTTTAGAGAGAGGGGAAGAAAGTGAGAGAGGGAGAGAAACATCGATCAGTAGCCCCTTGCACACACCCAACTGGGCTACCCAGGTATGTGCCCTGCCCGGGACTTGAACCAACGACCTTTCAGTTTGTGACAGAATGCCCAATCCACTAAGCCACACCAGCCAGAGCTCATGCAGCTCTTTAGTAAGATTCCTATCTATCTTTCCAATTCACTAACAATGTTGAAAGGCAAAAGGGAAAAAGAAAAAGTTATGGAAGGAGTTGTAATAAAAACCAAATAGGACTTATGGTCAAAATGGCAGCATAGGTAAGCACAGCTCGCGTCCTAAACAGCCACATCAAAATTACAACTGAAATACAGAATCATCATTCAGAACTGTCAGAAATTGAGTTGAACAGAACTCTGACAACTATGGAATTAAAAAAAAAGCCAGATCCATCCAGACTGGTAGGAGGGACAGACATGTGGAACGAGCTAGTTCCACATCCACGTGTGGTGAGTAAAAGTTCTGAAGGGGTATCTCAGCAAGGAGTCCCAGCCCTGTACCTGGACTCCTAGCCCAGGGATCCAGTGCCAGGCAGATTGTCTGCATAACTTCTGGCTGAAAAAACTAGCGGGCACTGAGTCAGTGGAAGAAACTTCTGGAGTCCCGAGCAGTTCTCCTTAAAGAAGCAGCACATGGATTTATTCAGGCTCAGTCCCTCTGACCTCCAGCACAGGGGCAGTAGCTTGAAAGGCACCAGTGGCATACGGGCGGAACTGAAGTGACTGGCATCAAGGTGGGAGCTGGATAACAGCTTTCTCTCGGACAGAAAGGCAAGCAGAGGCCACTGTCCCTCTTCTAGCCCTCCTCCCACAGAGCCACAGAGTAGGCAGGCGGGTGCCATATCTGAGGTTCCATCAATTTGGCTAACACTGTTTTCCCTACCCTGGAGATATCCTGGAGTGATTCTGTTCCACCCAACCTGCGGGTCCACCCAAGCAATTAACAGGGGCTTTACCAAAGCCCCTGCTCATGAGTTTTACCAAAGCTCATGCTTCACAACTTCCTAAAGCCTAACAAACAAGAAACAGTGAGCCTGTAGCTGCTATACCTCTTGCTAAGTGGCTCCAGGCCTGGCACTAGCTGCAGCCAGCCTAGATTCACAGTTGGCTTCCCCTGTGAATCTCCAAGCCCAGCCCAAGTAGGAGACATCTCAGATTGCTTTACAGCTCATGCAGGGTGGCCCCAGGGCAGAACAGAGGTGGGGGCTCACCTTGGCCTGTACCACCTGGAAAACCCAGGGCCAGCACTCCCAGTAGACAGCTACAGACTAAATTGGAGCACCACCACCCTATCCCTGCACAGCTGATCTTCCATGGAGGATGGAGGTTGGTGGTCAATAGTCATAGCTAGTCCTTGCAGCTGACTGGCCTGGGTAAATCCCTCCCATTGACCTGCCAACAGCAAATCAGGCTTAACTACAAGAAGATGGTATACTCAGCCTACATGAAGGGTGCACCTCAAGAATCTGGCTTAGGGGAGGCTGTGCACTGGACCCTACTGAACACCTACTACCTTAGGTCATGCTACCAAGACAGAGGATCATAGCAGCTCTATCTAATACACAGAAGTAGACACAGGGAGGTTGCCAAAATGTGGAGACAAAGAAACATGGCCCAAATGAAAGAACAGAACAAAACTCCAGAAAAAGCACTAAACAAAATGGAGATAAGAAATTTATCAGATGCAGAGTTCAAAACACTGGTTATAAGGATGCTCAGAAAACTTAGTGAGGACCTCAGCAGCATAAAAAAAGATCCAGTCAGAAACAAAGTATACACTAATTAAAATAAAGAACAATTTACAGGGAAGCAACGGTAGAGTAGATGAAGCTGAGAATCAAATCAATGATTTGGAACATAAGGAAGCAAAAAACAACCAATCAGAGCAACAAGAAGAAAAAAGAACCCAGAGCACAGTCTAAGCAGCCTCTGGGACAACTTCTAATATACCAACATTCAAATCATAGGTGTACTGGAAGGAGAAGAGAAATAGCAAGAAATAGGAAACTTATTTGAAAATTGGAAACCTATAGAAAAAATAATGAAAGAAAACTGCCCTAATTTGGTGAAGGAAATAGACATGTGTCCAGGAAGCACAGAGATTCCAAAACAAGATGATGTAAAGAGGTCCACACCAAGACATGTCATAATTAAAATGCCAAAGGTTAAAGATAAAGAGAGAATCTTAAAAGCAGTAAGAGAAAAGCAATTAGTTCCCTACAGGGGAGTTCCCATAAGACTGTCAGCTGATTTCTCAAAAGAAACTTCGTAGGGTAGAAGGGATTGGCAAGAAATATTCAAAGTCATGAAAGACAAGGACCTACAGCCAAGATTGCTCTACCCGGGCCCTGGCTGGTGTAGCTCAGTGGATTGAGCGCAGGCCTGGGAACCAAAGGGTCAGGGCACATGCCAGGGTTGTGGGCCAGGTCCCCAGTGGGGGCCACATGAGAGGCAACCACACATTGATATTTTTCCCTTCCTTCCTCTCTCTCTAAAAATAAATAAATAAATAAATAAATAAATAAATAAATAAATAAAATCTGGAAAAAAAAAAAAAGAGGAAAAAAAAAAAAAAGATTGCTCTACCCAGCAAAGCTATCATTTAGAATAGAGGAACAGATAAAGAGCTTTCATGTTGGGAACCACCCTGCCTGCTATCAGAAGCTGTAACCCCCGCCAAGGCTAAGGTTGAGGGAATGACCTTGGACCATAAACCACCAAGGAGACAAAAGCTTATCTCCCTGGCAGGAGCACTGCTTCTGCTCCTTTTACTTCACCCTGCCTGGCCCCCAATGCTTGGTCAGTTAGCCAATGATGGGTAAGATTCCCCAAGGGGGGAACAACCTAAGACGGGCACAATCATGTGGGAGGTCCCCAAGGAAGGAAGGACTTTGGGGGCTACAGCAAAAGGGGGTGATGGACCCTCTCCCCTTGGCTTTGACAAAGCCTGAGTCCTCATTGTCTGTGAGAAAATCTCCTAATCTCTTGGCTGCCTTGCTTCCCTTGCTCCACCTAAGCCTGAAACAATGACAGGGTGGTGCCGCCCTGTGCTGGAAAGGGCAGGTTCCCCGGGTGATCAGGCCTAAGGAAGAATATGTAAACTCCTGTGAAACCTGCTTTGTTTAGAATGCTCTCAATTGAATGATAAGGGTCCAAGGAAGAAGTAAGTTTGTTCCTTAAAGTTTTTTACAGCTCTTTGACCCTGACTCAAAATAGGCCCTCAGACTTCCTTGTTACCTATTGTTTGATCACTTACACTTCCTGGCTATGAGTAATGAGCTTTACCTGAACTCTTATGCAAATGAACCCAATAAAAGCCTGCTCGGGCAGGAGAACGGGGCGCTCTTCCTTAGGGGCGCTATCCCCTAGGGAGGGTGGCCATGGCGCTCCTCACTAGAGACAGTGGCCGTTCCGTCCCTGTTTCCCCACAGGGCCTGGTTGTCTCTGTGTATGTTTTTCTTGTGTTTCAATGAGCCATCCGCAGCGTTCCGTGGTTACTGCCGGTCGGTGGCCACAACACTTTCCAGCCAAGAAAAAAACTAAAGGAGTTCATCATCACGAAACCATTATTATATGAAATGTTAAAGGGACTAATTTAGGAAGATTAAAACGATGAATAATAAAATGGCAATAAATACACACTTACCAACAACTGAATCTAAAAAACAAACTAAGAAAACAAGAAGGATGGGGACAGAATCATGGATACAGAGAGTGTTTTGATGGTTGCCAGATGAGAGATGTGTGTAGAGGAATGGGTGAAGAGGTGAGGGAATTAAGCAGCACAACTAGGTAGTTACAGAATATTCATGGGGATGTATAGGACAGTAAAGGTAACGGAGTAGCCAAAGAACTTATATGCATGAGCCATGCACAAGAACAATAGTGTGTGTGGGGACCAACTGAGGGAGAAGGGGATGCTTGGCAGAGGGAGGCAAAGGGGGAAAAATTGGGACAACTGTATTACAGCATAATCAATAAAATATAATTTAAAAATTAAAAACAGAAATAAAGAAGAGCCTTCCCTCTTTTTCAATTGCATATTCTTCCACACAATCAAGTAATTGTGTAGTCAGTGAGTAATTATGAAATCCTCCAGGATCTAACAGAGCGCTGACAAAATAGAAGATGCTTAGTGAACTCTGTTCATCTACATTACAACCACAATGGAAAAAATATGTGAGAAGAATTTAGACAAGTATATGCAAATGTATCTTCTATCAAGAAACAAATTACTTGTCAATTCTGCGCACGCAACTTTTCAAAACAATACTAAGGGTTTTTAATGCCTTTAAAACAAAATGATAGGAAATTAATTCTGTGTGGAAACTAAGGATATGTGAATGATAGCAATGAAAATGATCATATAGTTAAAAGGTGTTATCAATAAAGAGTTTTTTAAAACCACAGAAGAAATCATCTCTATCTGATAGGTACTAGATTTAAGAAGTTTCAAGATGGTGAGAGTGCTTAAATTACTGGTATAATATAATGCAATTATATTATAAAATGTAACTTTGTGGATTTGAAATCTTACCAGAATATATCCTCTAGAACATCTAAAGGTAAAGGATGAGGATTAAACACGATAAAAAGTCTTTCTTTCACTGGAGTTTCAGGAGGGGCCTTTTTTTTGCACGGTGGAAGCACAACATCTGTCTGGATTTGGGGCAACTGTGATCCAGAACTTCCTCCAAACTGCTGTCGAAGAGTTAGGAACAAAATGAGAAAAAGAAAAACTGCACTTTAGGGATCTTTAGCCAAGATCTGAAGAGATGTGTATCATGGCACCTACAGGGGCTTTCACTATAGCTCAGAAAACTTTCTTACATAGGTAATAAACAAAGGCCACAATTAGCTTATACCCTATGGATGTATTACAAAGGTGAAATTCTTACCTACTTACCAGAAATTGCTGCTGACTTGGGTTATTCCACACCATTGATGCAAGCTGGGCAGCTACCATCTGCGTCGCCATTTTTCTAAGGAGACTAGAGATAATAACTGATAATTTACAGAAAACCAGAAATACTCAGTCTCTTAACAGTAACTTGTTTTGTGTGGCCTCCTCGCCTGAGAGGTCAATTGTTTTCTATGTTTATTCTTCATGTCATAATCATGTACACCTAAAGCTTGGCTCAGACACTTCTGGAATGGTACTTACTCTGTTGCATTACTCCCATCATCAATGAAGGAAACACCTATCCGATTCCCAGGAGGGTACTGAAATCCATGTAACTTGTATTTTGCATAAATAGCTGATGCTACATTAAAATACTGAACCACACCATGACCTAAAACAAAGGTAGAGAATATACAGGAGTTAAAATTAAAGTAGATTGAATACTTAAAGGCCTTTGTTGCCACAAAAATGAAACAATGTAGGAATGCCCAAATATCATACAGCCAGTAAATACAGAAACAAATGTATCAGAAAACAAAGTTCTCTTACGTTTGTGTGTAACAGCTGTGTTCCTACAAAGCAAAGTATAAGCCAGATTTTGGTAAAAGTGTGAACATCATAATTTAAGGTTAATACCTCCCTTTAAAAAAAGCCTTTACAAATCTAAAGGCTTAACAATTACAAAGATAGATTAAGCTAACATTAGATAATAGGTTTAATCAATTAACTAGTTGAAGGTTCAAATGGCTGATGTTAGAGCCTTGCTTCTATTATGAAGTTGGAAGAAACAGGTACTTGAAATGAAGGAAAGAAGTTTTTATTTCACAGTATAAAATTTAAGAAAAAGAGACTTAGGGATGAGGATGACATTTTATGGGTTTTATAACTTTGCCTGCCATTAACCAAGAAGAGAGAGGAGAGAGAGAGAGAGAGAGAGGGAGGGAGGGGGAGGGAGGGAGGGAGGGAGACACTTTTCTGAGGTATTTTTGTTGTACAACAAGAAACAGAAAATGCTCTATTGTGTGGGAGTTAAAATATTAAAAAAAAAACACAACAACTCAGTATAAACAAGATATATTCCCAAGGGCTTATTAAGGTATCACTGTATTTAAAAGTTTAACATGGATAAAAAAGACAAACTGTCACACAAACAGTATCTTACATATAAAGTGTCATTGGAAAAAAGCCATTTTAACAAAACACATACTTAAAAATAACACAGACATTATTTTACCATAATTTGAATAAGGATCTCGTTGAACTTCACAATATTCCAACCCTGGTACTATATCAAAAATGCTGAAAAGCTGCTCTTCAGTGAAAGGCACCCTGGACACCACCGACAGGCGTTTGGAGATAGCTTCCTGGCCTCTGTTGTCATTCTTGTCAAAATTTGAAAATTCAGATGGTTGCTCTTGGACAACAGAGAAAAAAATCAATCTTTAAATTTCTATCCATCCAAGAATTCATTTAACATTTTAGGTACCAGAAAACAGAATGAACTTTCAGTGAGTACATTACACTGAACCAAGGCACTGTATTTTGTAGAATGCTCTTGGTCACCAGCACTATCGAAAGACACCAATGACAAGAAAACAGACAACCATTCCCTATTCCCCAGGCCCCAACACAGAAACATCAGCAGGAATGTGTAGTCTAACTTCACAGGACAATGTTTAGTACGCGAAACTGCCAGATCTGGCAAGTGTTTCAGCTGAAAGACCGTCTGCGCCGAGTAACATGCACAGCCCTCACTTTCATCACTCATTCCCCCCTTTTTCCAGCTTCTACTTTTGTCACTCCTCTCCTTTCTCTTGCTCTAATTTTAAAGTAACTGCAGCTTACGGATAGAGCTTTAAGATTCAATGCTGAGGGGTTATCTGTATATGTCTTTCACATTTTTTTGGTCAGCTGTGTAGAGGTAGAAGCTCACCCAAAAAAGTGGCAGTGACATAGTTTAATATTTAGAAAAAGCATAACTAACCATATAAAGCTATAATTGGAAGTAATTAAAATAAGTAGTAAGTATAAAGGACATAAGAAGTCATGACAAACTTAAAACGAACTCTACAGTATGACTTTTATTCACTAAGTGATATTTATAGACTGCTAATAAACAGGTATTTTTCTCAATTCAGATTGTATACACTGCTTACACTATAAAGCAAAGGTTGCCCACTTACCAAATGGAAACATATTTACTCTAGGTTCATGTCCTAAAGTCTCCTGCCTCATATTATTATAATAATCTTGTTCTGAGGATTCAGATGCTTTATTTTTGGGTTCAGCCAAGATTGCCCTAAAACCTGAAAAGAGAATCCATCAATTTCAAGCTTCATAGCAAAGTTGACATACTTGCAAATATACCTGATTGCTAGTGCCTGACTTAGCTTTAGAAATATAATTGTATAAAACAAAATCTACACAATGGCCATCTCCACCAGACCTACTTCTCTGCTTTTTGAAAGATAAAAAAAAAAAGGTCAAATAAGAAACAGTAAAAATCCCAAATTACAGGTCAATGTCGACATGACAGAGCAACAGTTCTATGCTATTTTTTCTAATCTCCCTTTACTACAGATGACATCACCATTCTCCCAGGCGCCTCAACATCAAAATCCTTTAAGGCTTCTTCACATTCAAATGGCCATCAAGATTTTTTCTCTGAAATACACTTAGAATATGTTATGTTTCACTTTAATTTCTCTGCCTCTGCTTTTCATTTAGATTCTCTTCAAATAATTACAAGAACTCTTCAACTGGTCTTTTTGCCTGTGGATCCAGGATTTTAAATAGGGGGTCCAAGAATTAGTTTCAGAAGGTGGGAAGGTTCCATAAACCCTCTGAGACTTCAAACAAAATGTTTATGCATATATGTGCATATGGGTATGTTTCAAGGAAGAAAGTTCGTGTGTTATTCTGCGGCTCCAAAAAGAATTTCAGCCCATCTGAATTTATTCCCTGGAAATCCATCCTTGATATGGTGGTTAGCTCATCTGTACTAAAATTGTTTTTATTATTTTTATCCTTTTAAAACAATATACAAGGGAATCTAAATGTGGGCCAAACCTGAACTCTTCATAACCTCTCGTACATGGTTCCAGCATATCTAGTTATCTGTCCTATATCTCAGCAGAAATATTATGCTTTATTCAGATGGCTGCCTTTCATGGTACTAAGCAAAGACACGTTTATATCTGCCTCTGTGCCTTTGCTAACACTGCTCTCACCTTCTGTACTGCCTACTCCACACCAGATGCAACTCCTACCTCCAATGCACTCCCATGTTCATTCAGTGCACTTGCTTTTCACCACTGATAGACTATACTACACACTTTTGAATATTTTTTTTCATTTGGCAAATTGTTATTGAGGCTACTATCAATAGCAGTATCTTTGAATAAGTTCCCAATACATTTTTTTTAAAGATTTTATTTATTTATTTTTGGAGAGAGGGGAAGGGAGAGAGAAAGACAGGGAGAGAGACATTGATGTGTGAGAGAAAAATCAGTTGGTTGCCTCTCACATACCCCCAACTGGGGACCTGGTGTGAAACCCAGGGATGTGCCTCAACAGGGAATCGAACTGGTGACCTTTCAGTTTGCAGGCCGCCATTCAAGCCATTGACCCACACCAAGCCAGGGCCAATAAATTTTTATTGAGGGTTCAATTACTGTACTAGCTACATGGGGTGACAGAAACACAAATAAGACATATTCCGTTTTCAAAGAACCTTTTAAAAATTATATTACTCTTTTAACTATTTTCTGTTTATTAGATCTTGGCTATACAATATAGCTACACATTTCTTAAATGGCAAGATTGCTTTATATTTTGTTGTATGCCTTAAGCTACTAATGGACATACCAAAGGTACTCAATTAATGTTGACTGATTGAGAAATTTAGAAGGCTCTTAAGAGAAAATTTTGGTGTTATCTAAGGGTTATCTAAGAATTCACTAGTTTGGTGTGTTATCTAGGGTTATCTAAGAATTCACTAGTTAACAATAATTCTTCTTAGTATACGTAGATTTTCATAATATCCTGAAATCCACTAATCTGATGACTGTAGACCTCATTTCTAAAGGTCAATATATCTAGAAGTACGACAATAAGGAAAATTCTCTTTGGCTTATTCCCTATGATTATACCAGCAACCGCAGAATATTTAATTAATGTCGCCCTAGTTTGAAATTAATCTAATGTATATTTACTTACCTATGTTACCAAACCTCATAAATCCTATCCTTAACTTATATGTTTGTTAGTAAACTAAATTCTATTTAGGGTCTAGGCCAAATATGAACAGATATTAAAGAAAACTTATTAAGAGAGTTTGAAATATAAAGAACACATTTTTAAAAATCTGAAAGGGTAGGTCAATTTCTAAATACTTAATATTCTAAAGTAGGTACTTAAAAAATTTATAGAAAAAATAACCAAAATATGGCAATAACACTTATTAAGTTATTACAGTTGCTCATAATTTTTTAAGATGGTGTCTCAATGAAAGCTTAATTATCTATCTAAATAATTTGCATTTGAGGGCTATATACATTTAAACACCCATTGCTAAAATTAAATTAGCTGGTAAGGTTGTTAGCCAAAACCAGTATTAGATTTAGTTACTGAAAATAATTAGAAATTTTTTTAAGTGTTTAACAATGTTAAACAAATGCATACTTACTTCGGTCACAGTTTTCTATTGCTTGGGCAGCTTGTGATGGCTTTAGGTATCGAACATAGCCCAGACCTTTACTTTCTCCAGTGACCTTGTTCTTAATAATGCTGCAGTACTCAATGTCTCCGTACACCTAGGAGAGTTAGAAGAAATGATCTCAGAGGAGTCAAAATTAGTAACGGAACAGATTACTTCAGAACTTAAAAATTATTTGTACTTCCTATTTGCCAAAAAGAAATTAGAATTTACAGCCACTTTTAACAATAGGTTCACAATGTCACAAACTAATGAGGAACTAGAAAAATAACCATAATAGTGATATAAACAAATAATAACATAACCAAAATAATGGAAATATTTAGTGAGCATTTGCTTTGCATACACTATCTTATTGTTACAACAATCTGTCAAGAAAAAATACATATATACAAATATGCATATATACATTGCAGTGTTTAAGTCACAGACAAGGAAGCTGGGTCTTAGAGAAATCATTTCTACATGGTCTGAAGAGCTCCAAAGTCTTGCTCATTAGTGGTTAAGAACAGAAGCTTTGGAATTGAACCTTCCAGATTGAAATCTTGGCTCTGCCACTTATTAACTGGACGTTTTAGTTACCCTTTCTGTGCCTGTCTCTTTGTCTGTTAAATGGGACAAAGCTGTGCTGATCTCACGGGATCAAAGGAAAGGCCAAATGAACGAATACACCTGAGGTGTTTGTATAGGGTCTGGGACACACTACACACTCACAAACACTGGCTGTAATTATTTGTCTGCCTTCTAACAGGTGCATAAATGGCTGTATATTCTTTTGAAAAACAGACCCCCAAAGTATATCTCTAAAACACATTGGTTGGCTCAGAAAGTTAGTACTTTATATGAGAAATATGTGATGTTTATTTTTAATTTTTATTTATTTATTTTTTGAAGATTTTATTTATTTATTTTTAGAGACAGAAGGGAGGGAGAAAGAGAGAGAGAAACATCAATGTGCAGCTGCTGGGGGCCGTGGCCTGCAACCCAGCGATGTGCCCTGACTGGGAATTGAACCTGCGATGCTTTGGTTCGCAGCCCGCGCTCAATCCACTGAGCTACACCAGCCAGGGCATGCTGTTTATTTTTTAAATGTTGGAAGAAATATGGGATATAAATTCTTAGTATTTATTATTTATTTCATAAAATTCTTGTGTAACCAATTAGCAACTTAATTACTCTTTAGATAAAAATGTCCTATTTGTTCACTCAGAAAGATAATTTATAAATATATAAGGTAAAAACTTATTCTTATTATTGGAGGAAGTATGAAATATACTTTTCTGGTATCTGTCATGTCTGAAGTATTTTATTCAACCCTCAACTGGAGTAGGACAGAGGAAGTTTGAAAATTACTTTTTACTACTTGTTTTTCAGTCTTGCTTATTATATGCTTTATAGTTCACTTGCTGTGAACTGAGGTGGGGGGAAACATTACTACTAATATTTTCCAGTTTTTATATATTCTTTAAGTTAAAGTTAACTTATTATAGGCTTAATACTTAAACACCAGATGGAAAGAGACCAACTTAGAAAGTTATTTAATTCCCCACCACCAATCTAATGATCTAAGTCACACAACACTTCAGATTTAGCAACTGTACAACCAATTTAGGATTATGAGTTATCACAGATACTAACTGTTAGGTACCTTAAATTTTTCTCGTAGATCTTCTTCTGTGTAGGACTTTGGTATCATAACAAAGATTCTTGTAAGTTCTTCATCTTCAACATCCCGGTGACTTCCAGATGACCTGGACTGAGCAATAAAAACCTAAGAAACAAACAACACCCATAAAATAATGTGAAAAAATCAGTTGTTTTCCTATTCCATAAATATATTTAATTCACTACTAGTATGAGGTTCATGTTAGGTTAAATGCAATGTAATAAGGTCCCATAATAGATGTTTTTAAGCAATCTTCATTGAAGCGACTTTTTATATGAGCTAATGCCAATCTCTGCACTGTTTTTTTTCCAAATATATTTTTCTTTTCAGATTGTGGTTTGCCAAAAGCAATAGTGAGTGCACTGAAAAAGAATGTACACTCTGCAGTTGTTGGGTAGTATTCAATAAATGTCAATTTATAGTCGATTGATAGTTATTATGTTACCTATCTACTAATTTCATCCATTTGTCCTATCAGATACTACAAAGAGTGTATAAAAATCTGATCATGAATTTATCTTCTTTTAGTTCTATCAATAATGCTTCCTGCATTTTGAAGCTATTATTGAACACATAGGGATTATGTACTTTTTGACTAGTATTTTTTATAACTGTTAACATTCCTCTTCTGTTGAAGACCATTTTGCCTGATACCACACCGGCTGTTTCTTTTACTTTCAACCACTTTGTATTTTTATATAGTCTCTTGTAAATAGCATTTAGTTTATTCTTTTTCAAACCCTGATAATCTCTGCCTTTTACTTGGAGTGTTTAGTATATTTGTTTAATGTGGTATTTGACATAGTTGGGTTTAATTCTAGATGGTCATATTTTTTAAACTTTTTTCTGTTATTAATCTTTTAAAAAAAGAGGTAATATAACCAAACTATGGATCATCTCAGTGACCAAGCAAATGATCTATGTTATCAAGAAAATGCACAGAATAACTTGAGGCTCTTTTTCTACTATTGGCAATTTAGTTTTATTGATACATCATCATCCATGACATGACACTTAATTGTGCATTGCTTTTATTTACTTTGTAAAGTTGTTTTGATTTTATATTATTCTAGAGGAATGTTAAAATCTCTCAACAGGATTGTGGATTTGTTTATAGAGCTATAAGCATAATTTTAATGGTTTTATTTTTTATAATTTGAAGAAAAGTAATAAAATTAATATAAAGTAGCACACAAGGGCTTTTGAGGATTTCTTTTTTAAAGGGAGGGGGGGTGGACATCATTTGCTGTATGTCATTCAAGAATGACAAAACCTGGACTTGTGGAAATGTAGGTTAAGAGGTAGCAAATAAAAGAACTCAGAACTTATAAAACCATACAATTGTAGGAATATTTAAAAAGGTTATTATCTTTGCTTGGAAAATGGCTGTCATAGAAGTGTAGAATCTTGCTTACAAAACACAGCTAGAGCTATGTCCCTAGGTACAGTCTACTTCCAGTTTCAATAAATCTACCCTTTATGCCCGCTGTATGTCAAGCAATGCATGAAATATTAGTAACACTGAATAATGCAGAAATGGTCCACTGTAAAGTTAATCTAGTGGGTGAATCACTAATGAATAGTCAACAGGGAGCCTTTAAATATATGGGAAGATAGGGGGTGGGGGAAGAAATCCCAGGTAAGATTTGAGACTGAAGCTGCTGTCAGATCACAAATTTCAGCAGACTAGAATGTTTCAAATATCTGACAAAGGAGATAGTATATAAGTAGACCACATATATAATTTATAACCCAATGGATGATTTATCCTAAGATTTTATGTTCACAGACTATGGGCTCTAACTAAGAGACACTCTTACAAAGCTAAAACCCAAGATTTTTCTCTTCCAGTCTCTAGGTTTACCCCTTTCCTCTAGATAATATAGCTGGTCACAAAATGACTTCTACTTGGACAATCTTTTCTGGATGTAGGCCTGGTGCTGTAATTTTCTAATTTGTTTTGTAGATAGATTTGTTTGGAACTTAGCAAAGGCAAAGTACATGAGAAAAATTAATGCTGAATTAATTTAACTGGGAACGCTGAGAAACAAAACACCAAAACTACATTGCAGTGGAAGACAGCTCAAGCTGCAGCTGCTGAAGAAAGAACTTTCACTGTCCAGCTGGACACTGTGGTAAAACGACCCTCTGGCTGAGAATCAGTGGGCAAAAATGTGAAAAACAGATTTTAAACTTTAATTATCTTTGGAAATAATTTAGTTTCTCTGTGGCTAAAAGGGAAGACATATTTCAATGTTGGGAAGTTTACTTCTCTTGCATAAATATAATGAAGGAAAGGAGGGCCTATAGGTTTCTAAAGTGGAGCCTGTTTTCGGTTCCAACTTCTGTGCTTACGTGACTCTCAGAAGTATAAAAACCCTTTTCGCTAAAATCATAATTGGAAGGAGATGAAAATAATTCATCTAGTAAAAACAGAAGACTACAGGTTGCTGACATCCAGTGCAGGAGTCAGCGACCTGTAGCCTTCTGTTTTTCTACAGCCAATGACCTAAGAATTGTTTTTACATTTTTTTTAATTTTTTTTTTTTAAAGATTTTATTTATTTTATTTTTAGAGAGGGAAGGGAGGGAGATAGAGAGGGAGAAACATCAATGTGCGGTTGCTGGGGGTTATGGCCTGCAACCCAGGCATATACCCTAGCTGGGAATTGAACTTGCGATACTTTGGTTCGCAGCCCGCACTCAATCTGCTGAGCTATGCCAGCCAGGTTGTTTTTACATTTTTAAAGGGCCATTAAAACAGAGTATGTGACAGAAACAGCATGTAGCGCACAACGCCTAAATTATTTACTGTCTGGCCCTGTAGAAAATGAGTTAGCAAACCTCTGATCTACTATATGCTGTGACCTTATAATTAATTTTGTTGATGAGCTGTTGTCATCATTTCAAAGGGCCAGAGCCAGTGCGCCCTCCTGAGTTTATCTCAGCTGCGAACAAGGTGAGAGGAGAAAGAATGTCTACTGTCTGCTGGGTTGCTGGTGCAGTCCCAGGCTGCTTCTCGTTTGCATGTGGAAGTAAAGGAAAGACCTGCAGAGATTGAAATATCTCTGAGTCTTTCATTTATATAAACCTTTATTTATAATATTCTTCTCAGTTTTCTGTAGTAAGTGGGAAAAAGTGAAAAAAATTTGAGGGAAAAGAGAATTTTGTGGAAAGCTACAACAAAATTACATATATAGCAACTATCTCTGCCACAAAGGTGAAGGGTAGAGTTTAAGCAACTCCTAGATTCTCAGGATTAGGCCAAGTTGAGTTCACAGCAAGTAAGGAGTGACATCTAAGGATATACCGAGGCCTTACCTTGTACCAGGCACTGTGGTAAGCGCATAGATTAAGTCATACAACCCTCAAAATTAGCCTTTCTGCCTTGTGTCTGTTCTCTTAATTGTACAGACAAGAGTAGAGGCAATATAAAAACCACCAGGGTGAACTAAATATACAAAAGAAGCATTTAATTACAACTACACTACCATCACAATGACTTGATTCTTCTCAAGGAAGTTTACTTTGGTCTGCTTTCAAAGAAAAGTAGCAGTAACAAAACATATGCTATTAATACCTTCATAAATAGGGAGTGTTTAAAATAGTTTTCAAAATCGTAAAGATGTACTGAATATGTAAAGGTAGCAATCTAAACACCTGCACTTCAGTATCATATACACTTGTCAGGTAGTGGGAAAATGCCCAACACCAGAGGGCCACAGCTTAATGTACTTTTATCAAGTTGTAAAACCCCATACCTCACTGTGGAAAGCATGATCTCTTTTCCCGACGGTAGACGGGGCTGCAGGGAGGGGTTTATTCCGAGAGAGGAGGGTCAAAGAAGTGCTCAAGCGGGCCAGGGCCAGAGCTGGGCAAGGAACACAAAGTTCCAAAACAGTGGAAGTGGGGGTGGGGCTGGCCTGGCCACAGCACTTCTGCACCCGAGTCGCCGCAGCTGCTGCCTGGCTAACCCGGGGGCGGATATTCCTTCCACGCCCCTCCAAACCTTGCACCCACCGTGCAGGCTCATGGGCGGGTCCTGAAAACCGGTTCCCACGCCACCCTCCTCTCTTCTCGCCCCCAGACTGCCAGGGGCTGCCTAGTCTGCTCCTGGCACCAGACACCCTATCACCGCCTGACCCTGGCAGAGCTGTGGAGGAAGGGAGGCCTGAGACACCCTTCCCCACCCCCAGACACTGTCCCTGCGGGTACCCGACCCGGGCACCCGCACCTTGATAGGCTTGGTGTCGTTGGGGCCGAGGCACCGGCCATGCATCTCCTCCATGGCCCTACAGGCCTGCGAACTACGCGCGAACTTGACGAAAGCGATGCCCTTGGATTCCTTCGTGTGCTTGTCCCGCACCACCCAGATATCCTGGATCTCACCAAACGGTGAGAAGCGCTCCCTCAGTACGGACTCGGGCGTGTACTTGCTGATCACCAGGAAGATGCGGCTGTTGGGCGGCTCGTCTAGGCTGTCCACGCCCGGGCGGAAGCCTCCACCGCTCGTACAGCTGCCTGCTTCGTCCATGGTGCTGCACCCAGAGGCCGGAGCCAGGCCCGGGTACCCTTCAGCCCTCCTGCCTTCCGCGGCTGTACACCTACAGCCGTTGCAGGTCCGCTGCTCGCTTCCGGAAGGCGGAAGAGTCTGGCGCTGTCCGGCCCTACAGGCTCCCGGCTTCTGGGGATCAGCCTGCAGCGCCCCCTGGCGGCACGGGGGAGCCTAACCCAGTCCAGGCCTTCATTCCCCAGGAGCTGAGGCCCAAACATCAGGTGTGCAATCTTCATACCCTAGGGTCAGAACAGCCTCTTCTGTGCACAGGCTTTTCCAGCTCTGGCTTTACCGCACTCTCAGAGGCCAAGGATTCTTATCCAAAACTTGCCATCTTGGTCACAAGCTCAACAGAGGACCACTGTAAGACAGAACTAAGGTGGAATTCCAGCTTCATTTGCTGAGAAAATTGAGATGAGGAAATTGAGGCCTGTGGAATAGCCAATGGTAACAGAGCTAAAACTGGAGCCAACCCCTTCTGCTGATCTGCTCAACTCCACAAGCACCCCTGGGAGTATGAGGGCAGGAAGGGTAGATTACTCAGCTGTGAAATTAGGAGAAATCCGTAATGTGCAAGCAAAGTAGGAAGTGCTTACTGACTTCTAAATTGGGCTTTGAGGAGAGGTCATCAGAAAACTAGCGAAAATCCAGAAATAAGGCCTGGATATGGCATTGGCATCAGAATGAAGTGAAAGGAATAAAACAAAGTAGTCCAGGAGCCAAACTGCTTGAATGTTCAAGTCCTAAGTCCTGGCTGCTAAAACTTGGATTGCTATGAACTCAAACAGAGAAATACTATTTATTGTGCATCAGCTATGTGCCAGGCTCTGAGCAAGAAGCTAGACATACCATGTGGAACAGGAAGGACAATGTGATTCTTGCCCTCAAAGAGCTTTTCTTCTATTGTAGAAATCTTACATGTAAATATATAATGAAAAAGTAATGTCAGATTGTGTTCAACAGTTTTGCCACTGAATTGTGTGAGCTTGGACAACTCACTTCCTATTTCCAACTTCAGTGTTCTCAACTCTAAAGTAGAAATAATATTACCTATTAAATGAGGTAGTTGTCAAGCTTAATTGACAACTACCCTATTTATTCACTCAACTTAAATGAATGTTTTTGAAAGCCTACTGTGTGTTGGGCACTATGCTATACTGAAGTGATATAGTATTAAACAAAATGGTCAGTCTGCTGCCCTCATGCAGTTAAGAGGTTAGGCTTGTATAATTAGGATTGTATGAAGTAATATATATGGAGCTAATAGCTTAGAGGTCAAATGAGATACTGTATGTACAACAGCACAATGGAGATTAATTTTGTCACTTTCTTTGACCAAAGTGTCCACTCCCCAACTCTAAATATTGTATGATTTGTGATGGCAACTGAAAGTCAGAGATTCTGAGTTCTTACCCCGAATTTAGCACAAGATTGTGAGTTTCTCCTTGCTTTTCATTCCATATTTGTTAAAGGAGGGCTTTGTTTACCCTGGAGCTTAGCAAGTCAAGGAAAGATTTTATCTTAACTTTCCATTTCTCTTCATCTTATTCAGACCAATCAAGGCAAACAAAAACTTTATTGATGTAAGGAAGTGTAAAGATTCTAGCAATACTATTTGCACACCAGTGCCATCTAGTGGAAAATATATATAATTAACTACTTACTGGGCAATTTCTGCTCTGCAAAACAAGATTACTTGTTGGTATCCTGAAAATACTGGGCTGATATTCAAAGAAGTTACCTTTTTATCTTAAAGAAAGGATTAAAGATTGTGTAAAACAAAACCAGGAATAGAAATATTGGGAAATGCTAAGAAAGCAAAGTTTCATTAACACCCAATCATGTGAAATAGCATGTGTTCAAGGAAAATAAGAAATGTACTTATAAATTACTATATTTTTTTATTGGCATGAATTTGCTGTAAATACAGTCCTATTGAGATATAATTCATATAACATACTATTTGCCCATTTAAAGTGTTCAATTAAATACTTTTAGTATGTTCAGAGTTGTGTAACCATTACCACAGTTTTATAACATTTTCATGACTCAGTAATGACAGTTGTCTTGTTTCAAATAATATAAAATCATATTTGAGCATGAATTACATGTAATTAAAACAGATGAAATACTGAGGTTTGAAAGAATGATTATTAAGACTTCCGGCCAAGATGTAGGTGTGGGTAGACACACTGTGCCTCCTTGCACAACCAAAAGAGGGACAACAACAAATTTAGAAACAAAAAACCCCCAGAACTGCCAGAAAATCGAACTGTATGGAAGTTTGACAACCAAGGAGTTAAAGAAGAAACATTCATCCAGACCTGTAGGAGGGGTGGAGATGGGAAGCCGGGGTGATGGACTCATGGCAGGGTGGTGGCTGGTGAAGCAGGAGGTCTCACATTGCATGCAGATAAACTGGGAGGAACAATTGAGGAGCAAGACAGACAGAGCAATCCAGGATTCCAGCAAGGGGAAATAAAGCCTCAAACCTCTCACTGAAAAAACCTGTGAGGGTTGCAGCAGCAGGAGTAACTCCTAGCCTCATAGGACAGTTTGTTGGAGAGACCCACAGGGTCCTAGAATGTACTCAAGCCCACACACCTGGGAATCAGCACCAGAAGGTCCTAATTTGCTTATGGGTAGCAGAGGAAGTGACTGAAAGCCAGCAGAGAACTGAGCAGGCAGCATTGTTTCCTCTCAGACCCTTGCCCCATATACAGCGTCACAACACAGTGATGTGGGTTGTCCCACCCTGGCAAATACCTAAGGCTCTGCCCCTTACTGTGTAACAGGTGCGTGGAGACAAAAAAAAAAAAAATATGGCCCAAATGAAAGAACAGATCAAAGCTCCAGAAAAAAAAAACAACAACAACTAAGAAATGAAGAGATAGCCAACCTATCAGATGCAGAGTTCAAAACACTGGTAATCAGGATGCTCACAGAAATGATTGAGTGTGGTTGCAAAAAAGAGGAAAAGTGAAGGCTCTGAAAAGTGAAATAAAGGAAAATGTACAGAGAACCAACAGTGATGGAAAGAAAACCAAGACTCAAATCGATGGCTTGGGCCAGAAGGAAGAAATAAGCATTTAACCAAAACAGAATCAAGAAACAAGAATTCAGAAAAATGAAGAGAAGCTTAGGAACCTCCAGGACAACTTTAAACTTTCCCACTTTCAAATCATAAGGATGCCAGGAGGAGAGGAGGAAGAGCAAGAAATTGAAAACTTATTTGAAAACATAATGAAGGAGAACTCTAATTTGGTGAAGGAAATAGACTTCCAGAAAGCCCAAAAAGCACAGAGAGTTCCAAAGAATTTGGACCCAAGGAGGAACACACCAAGGCATATCATAATTATATTACCCAAGATCAAAGATAAGGAGAGAATCTTAAAAACAAGAGAAAAGGAGACAGTTACCCAAAAGGAGTTCCCATAAGACTATCAGCTGATCTCCCAAAAGAAATCTTACAGGTAAGAAGGGACTGGAAAGATATATTCAAAGTCATGAAAGGCAAGGACGTACATCCAAGATTACTCTAACCAGCAAAGCTATCATTTAGAATGGAAGGGCAGATAAAGTGTTTCCCAGATAAGGTCAAGTTAAAGGAGTTCATCATCAGCAAGTCCTTATTATATGAAATGTTAAAGGGACCTATCTAAGAAAAAGAAGATGATCAACCCTATGAACAGTAAAATGACAACAAACTCACAACTATCAACAACTGAACCTAAAAAACAAAAACAAAAACAAACCAAACTAAGCAAACAACTAGAACAGAACCAGAACCACAGAAATGGAGACCACATGGAGAGTTCGCAGTGGGAAGGGGTGGGGGGAGGATGGGGGAAAAGGTACAGGGAATAAGAAGCATAAATGGTAGGTACAAAATAGACAGGGGAAGGTTAAGAATAGTATGGGAAATGGAGAAGCCAAAGAACTTATATGCATGACCCATGGACATGAAGTAAGCTGGGGGAATGCTGGTGGGACAGGGAGTAGAAGACAGAGGGGAATAAAGGGGAGAAAAACTGGGACAACTATAGTAGCATGATCAATAAAATATATTTAAAAAGAATGATTATTAATTGATCTTATATAAGAGGAAAAATGTGCTGGGTATTTGTGGATTAAATTGTTTCAAGTCTTTAAAACATGTAGCATGTAAAATACAATTCGTGGAATGATAAACACATATTTCACACAAAGTTCAAATTTCCCTGAAATTTTTCTTCCAAAAGTTTCATGATCTTAAAAAAATAGAGGTGATATTTAAATAAGAGATGACTTGTTTTTGAAATGCAAGGAGGAGAAAATAGTTAATTCTTTTCATCATTATTCAAATTTTGTTGAAATATGATGTAATTGCAATGAAGCTTACTAGTTATTAATATTAGTTTTCATATCTTATATTCAATTAAATAAAAATGTTTTGCCTTATTTGCCAATTTTTAGGAGATTTTATCACTAATATTTATTGGTGATCAATTAGAAACTTTCATATTGTTCTGTACAAATATGGTCCGGAGTCTTCATTTCCCATCCACAAGTGCCTACCCTGGCCTGTGGTAAGCACTCAGAAAAATGGTAGTCTCTTCTTACTTGATTTTGCATCTTTGTTTGAGTTTGAGAATAATATTTAACTCATTTTTCCCCCTCCAGTAGACCTTTGAATCAATTTGAAGACATCTTTTAAATGTGTAGATCTCAGGACAGAACCCACACTTAGGTACCACTTAGAATGGTTTCATTCAACAATTGAGTATTGTGGTTATTTCAGTTAAATTTAAAGTAATTAAGGTTAACTATAATTAAAATAATTAAAAATTCTGTTTACTCAGTCACATTAGCCACATTTTAAGTGCTCAAAAGTTATTTGCTGCTAGTAGACGGTGCACACGAAGAACATTTTCATCATGGCAGTGACCTATTTTGGACTTAGCTCTAGGGGGAAAAAATGTTGGGCAAACCTTCCACTTACCTAATTTACAAAATTTTCACTGTCATTTCCTCAAATTTCTTGATTGTTGAACGATTAAAAATGTTTTAATATTCCCATTTCTCTGTCATAGCCTTACTACTCCCAGCTCACTGAATGATAATGTAACC